TGACCCAGGCCCACCCCCTCCCCAGTGGGGGGTCTGCTGGGCCAGCTGCCAGGGGCCAGGCCTCCCTCCTCAGCGAATTACCCACCCCCAACACACACACCCTCTGGACTGCTTAGGCCTCTGCCCCCGCCCCCACCGCCCACGCTGTCCAGGCTGCCTGGGCCTGGTGGGATCTGGGGGCCTCTTGGTCTCAGCCTCTCCTCCCCCTCCTGGAGCTTCCAGCTAGCCCTGACTGTCTCCCAGGCATTCCCTCAGCCAGTGCTGCTCCTCCTTGCCCACCACATCCTTGTCTCTGTCTCTGCCCCTGCTCTCTCATTTTCTCTTTCCACCTCCAAGTGAAGGTGTCTCTTTCCCTTATTCCACCCTAATTCCTCTGCAGGTCTGAGGCCTCTAGAGTTCCCACATTTTTGAGTCCTTTAGTCCATGCTATCTCCTGTCCTGTGTCCTTGCCTTTTCTCAGGATGGGTCCTCTACAGCTGATGTGGGGAGAGGGAAGGGGGCAAGGCCCTAGGACAAAGTGTCTTTTCCCTCACACTGAGGGATTATGGAGTCCGTTACCTAGGCATACTAGAAGCTGTGGCCATGCCATAGATTAGGTGCCCTCCCGCAGATCCAAATGTTCCTGACCTCACCCAGGTCCAAGACTCTGGGTGGGTAGTGCAGGCCAGTGACGTTGGTTGGGTTTCAGTTTTGGGGCATACCACATGGGCCCTCCCTGTTCATCCTTCAGACCAGGTTGAGCCTACCTGACCCTCAGCACACCCATGCCGGCGGATGCCCTGAAGTCAGAACATACTGTTGCACACCAGCACTCACACATGGTTAGAGCTGGGCCCCAGCCAGTGGTGCTCAGAACCCCCCACTCTGACTCTGGATGTGGCAGGGATTCCTGAAGGTTGGGCCTGTGTAACCTTCTGCAGGGATACATAGGAGCTCTCCAAACTCATACCCCCCCTCCTTCAGGTTGTACCTTCAGCTGGTTAAGGGCTGAGGGTTGGGGACATAGGGCATCAGGGACCTTGCTGGGGCTGGCGAGAAGAGTCTTGGGCACTAGATCTTAAGCCAGACTTAGAAACTGAGTAATTGAGGTCCCTAAGCTGGAGCCTGTCACTGTGTCTGCCAGCGTCCCTGCTAGTGATTGCCGGCCTCTGTGGTGCCACTATTACTGTGGGCTGCTGTTATTCTGTGTGACTGTCCGTGTTACTGAGTCTGACTGTCCGCATCCCTGTGTTACTGAGGATGCACCTTCGTTGTTACTCTGTGTGACTGTCAGTCTCATTGCATTTTTGATTCTGGGGTTATTGTCACTGTGACTGTGTCCATGTCAACAGGTATCATTGTCCCATTTGTTGGTGTCATTATTTGTCATTTCACTCTAATGACTGTTAGCAACCCTGTGTGCCATTGTCAACTATACCCGTGTCATTTTCACTGGGTGTTGTTCTCACTGTGTAATGGTGTCTTTGTGTCACAGTGGGACAGTGACAGGAAATTGGGGGCCCAGGATTTGTCTCTTGATGCATTACCTGTGTATGTGTGTAATGATGACACTGTGAGGTTCTGTGTCAGGAGAGGTGCTGGGCTTCTTGTGCTAAGAGGAGTGTGGGCTGCTAGGTACTGGCCCCCTTCCTTGTTGGTAGAGTGTCTTCTGTTGCCTCCTCATCATGGGGCTGGGGCTAGCGGCAAGGCTGGCCCATGCAGGGGTCTACAGAGAGCTTCAGCCAGTTTGCATGGCCCCTATCTGAGGCCATGGGATTTATCCTCCTGATTTATCCGAGAGCCATGGGGTGTGGACTTGGAAAATTCCTGGGGAAGATGCTCTTTGCCCTGGGATGGGTGGCCTGAGGTGAGCTAGGGCAGGGTGGAGGTAGAGCCTGGATGCCTCTGGCCTCAGCTTCCCTACCTGGGAGTGGACCCAGCTGGGACTCTGAAGGAAGGGAAGAGTGAAATTGGCTTGGGGCTTTCTGGATCTGCAGGGGCAGAGATGGGGTGTGGTAGGGTAGGGTTTTAGTCTTCCCTTATCCCCTGGGGGCTGCACTTCTGGGTCTCCAGGGAGAAGCCTTGTAGCCTCCAGGAAGGCTGCACCAACACCATTCTCCCTCTGCACTGGGGGAGGTAGGTGGGCTTAGAGAGATGCTCTAGGATGGGCACAGAGACCCTCTCTGGATCTGTCCCTTCCTCTGCCCTTGGATCTCTGCCCATCCCCTGTGGTTCCCATCTCTCTTTCTGGGTCTCCTCTCCCATTTCTCCCTATCTTGGTCTCTACTTGTCTCCTGGGTCTTGGCTCATGACTTTCCCTCTCTCTCTGCCTCTCCGCTCCCCCCTCCCTGGGTCTCTGCCTTTGCTGGGTGCCCCCAGCCATGCGGTGTCTGTTTCAGTACCCCATCCCCCACTCTCTGCAGCACTCACTCTCTCTCTCTCTCTCTCTCTCTCTCTCTCTCTCTCTCTCGCCAGCGCCCGTCTCCCATGGCTGCAGCCCCGTTGGCCCAGGGCCCGGCCCTTACAGTAACTCATCGGGCTGATGGAGGCGACTTTGATGAAGAAGCCACCCCTCCCCCTGAGGGGGCCTGAGTGTGTGTGTGTGTGTGTGCGTGCGTGCACACTCATGCCAGGCTGTCTTTTTGCCCCTGCACCCCCAACTGGGACCAGGAAGGAGCTGGGAGCAGAGGGCCACCCTGTCCCTCTTGGGTCCTAGATCGAACCTTGGTCCCTTCTGCCTCTGCGGGCCCTAGTTCCTGCCCCCTGTGGTAGGCAGTGGGTCCTGGCACTGAGGTAGTGTATCTTCCCAGCTGTGAGGACAAAGGCAGGGACAGATAGCAGAGGTGGTGGGGCAGCATCTGAGAGCTGCCTGCAGGGGTTGAGGTGGGGAACCAGGTAGGCCTGTAGCCTCTTGCCTGCCTCTCTCTCTCCCTCTCCTTCCTCCTTCCCTCCCTCTGAATTCAGTCCCTGGGTTCATTTCCTGGCCCCATTGCTCTCGGACTATAACGTTGGCCATTGTCTTAACCTTCTAGGCCTGAGGAGTAGTTGAAGATAGGGGAGTGGCTGAGGGTCAGCAGGAGCCAGGCCAAGTGGTAGCTGAAGCCCTGGGAGTCACCGATGTGGGAGGGACAGCCAAAGCCACCTGGGCCTAGAGAGACAAGCTGTGCCAGGGAGGGGTGGTCGGCGCACCTGCTGCTGTGGCTAGAGAAAGCCAGGTGCAGATGGGGAGGGCTTGCCTGGTGAGGGCTCAGTGCAGTCACGGGCAAGCAGGAGCCCCGTCCCGTAAAGGAGCCCCCGGAAGTCAGATTCTTCCCAGCTCTCACACTCACTGCTACAGGCTGACACCCACATCTGTCTCCTCCCTGCTGTAGCTCTGTTTGCAGTTTCTCTGGCAGTTCTCTGGCTGTATGTCTGGCTGTTTGTCTGGCAGTGTTTCTGACAGTGTCTCTGGCTGTGTCTGGCAGTGTGTCTGTGCGTCTGAGTGTCCCTGGCAGTGTTCTTAGTGGTGCAGAGACTTCCTGACTGAGCATCTGGCTCTGGCTCTGGCTCTCCTTCTAGCTGTGTTTTTGGGTGGATGCCTATTTGTGTCTGTCAGTTTCTCTGGTATTTCTCTGCTTGTGTGTCAGGCAGTTTCTCCGGTGTGGTTTCCGACAGTGTCTCTAGCCCCCTTGCTATGTCGCTGCTGGTTTCTGTGCCTGGGTTTCTTGCTCTTTCTCTGGGGGTAGGTCTTGCTTGCATCTGGCCGAGCCTTTTCCAGTATTTTCTGGTGGACCCTTTGGTTGTGTGTCCGTCTTTCTCTGACCAAGCCTCTGCCTGCTTATCAGGTCCTAGCTACCCGCTTATCTGGCTTTACCTGACAGTGCCTCGCGCAGTATCTCTAGTGTATCTCCAGCTGTGCATGCAGCTCTTTCTCTGGGACTCTGTCTGGTTGTTTTGGACAGTGTCTGGCTGTGCATCAGGCTGTATCCCTAATAGTACCACTTACTCTGCTTGCGTGTCTGGCAGTATTCCACTCTGGATCTCTCTTTCTGTCTGGTTGACGGGCCCCCTCTGTCTTCACACTGGGGTAGGAGAGTCCTGTTTGAGGCTTTTTTTCTGCAGGAAATAGTTACTTCTCTGCCCTCGGGTGTGATCATGTGTTGGGGTAGAGTGGGGGGCAAGCAGTTGGAGCTACCCCACAAAGCAGGACCGCAGATGAGGGGACCCCTGGATCCAGCCTGGCTTCTGGGGACATCCTGACTGTGCTTTGTGTACCTGCAGAGGTGTGTGTAGACACAATGCACATCTGGGCTGTGGGTCTCAGGCTCCTAAGGCATGTGTCTGGGGTGAAGGATGGGTTGGGGCCCCTGACAAGGAGTTACATGTGACATGCTCTCCTTCTCTCATGGTCACTGTACACTGAAACGAAAGCAGTATCTGACCTTGGTACCCTGCTGCTGCGAACATCCCAGAGGCCAGTGGCAAGGCTCACGGAGGGCTGGGGGGTGCAGATATGAGGGGCTTCAGAGCATGGGGGTTTCAGGCCCTCTCCCCAGGAGCACAGCAGGGGACCTTCCATTCAAGGCAATTTGGAGAAGTATAGACCTCCTGTTAAGTTCAAACATCACTCTTTTGGTTTGCAGTGCTTAGCGCTAATTAGCCAACCTCACTAGTAAAGTTTTTTATTGTTGTTGGTTTTTGTTTTTAAAGTGGCTGTAGCATTACCAGTGTTCTATAACTCATCCGTGGTTGATGACATCCTACAGCCAGCAGCCTTATCGAACAACAAACCGCTGTAGGTTGCCTCCTACCATCTTAGCAAACCTTTGGCTCCAGATGCCAATAATGTTACTTTCTGTTGCTTGAAAAAGAATCCTGAGCCCCATTAAGAAGGGCATTTGGGGTCAAGATACCGAGCCCTAGGGCTGGAATCACCCAGTCTTGCCTGAGAACAGGGAGGGGCTCCCCAGGAGGTTCCTGCCTGGGCTGATGCTGCCCCTTCCCTTTCCCCCGCACCCCCTCACCCCCATTTCTCCCAGCAGATGGCTGCTCCTGTCCCGTGGGCCTGCTGTGCTGTGCTCGCTGCCACTGCCGTCGTCTACGCCCAGAGACACAGTCCTCAGGGTGAGTGCTGGAGGAGAGGATTCTGGGGGGTGGGGTGGTGCTCCCTGCTGACCCCCACCCAAAGCCAAGCATGAGCCCTTTGCGACACAGCTGTGTGCATCCACCCAAGACCACACCCTGGCACGTTCTGGCTTGTCACATGTGAACACCCACGAGTCCTATAACACTGATATGCTGGGCGACCCACTGATGTTGTCTTACACCCACAGTCCTCCAGTCACTCCACGCGGTCCCATGCTGATGGTGTCTCTGGCTTGATGAGCTGTTCCTCTTCCTACTGGAGTGGGTGCGGGTAGAGGGTACAGGCAGGTGGGATGGGAGTTGGAGGCTGCTAGGGGTAGGTCCTGTATAGTATCTTTGAAATGGGATTTCTTTTGAAGTGGGGGTTTATGGGGGTGCAGTGGAAGGCACTGAGAGAGACAGAGGCCAAGACTTCTCCCTTATCCCAGAGGGAAGGTGGAGACAGAGGTGGCAGACTGAGAACAAGATGTGGGGACGGGCAGGGCGACCCGTGGGGGAGGGCTGGCATCCTGAGGAAGGGACGGGTCTGTCATCTGGAATGGTGGGAGGGGGCAGGGATTGCTCCGGTGGGGCCACTGGCCCCCCACCATTTGTCCAGGGAGGGCTCAGTTCTCCCCACAGCCCACAGAGCAAGAAGCTGCCCCCTGCTGGGAAACAGATGCCCTCTTAACTTGACCACCAGCGCTCAAACTGCATTTAAGGCAACACCTCACATGGCTCCATCAGCATAAGGTCTGACCTTGAAATTCCTCAGACAAGTGCTGAGCTGTATGGAGCTCTCCCCTTGGATGTGTCCTGCCCCCCACCACCCTTGGCTGGATTGGATAGAGGCAGAGAAGGTTGGGGCACTTCTGGGGCCCAGGTGCAGTGCACACGCTGCCACCCTCAAGGCTGTGGGTTAGAGGAGGGCAATGATTCAAGGCTCCTGTGCCTTCTTCCTTGTGAGACTGACACTGAGACCCAGAAAAAGCCTAGCCCCCATCCCCCTGGGCTGCTCCCCAGTGGGCAGGGAGTGAAAGGACTGCCAAGCCAGCCCATTAACCCCCACCTGCAGTCAGTCTGTCTTCAGCTTGTGTGCTGATCTCACTTGCTTGGACCTCTGGTGGCCACTCCCCCTGGCTTGGGCCCTGCTCTGTACGGTGGGTAAAGGCAGAGCCACAGGTGCCCAGGGGCTTGAGCAGTGAGTCCGCCTCTCTGAGAGTGGATAACTGTCCCAATGCATTAAGCTGTGTTCTTGTGTGGGTGAGACCATGTTCCTGTTCGAATGCATTTCTCGGGTTGTATTCTTGGGGGCTGTGCCCTGCGTGTGACATTGTCTGTTCATGTGTGACTGTGCTCTTCATGGGGCTTTGTCCTTGTGGTTGAGACTGTACCCTGTGTGACATTTTGATAGTTTCTCCCTGTTTCTGTCTCTTCGCATGTTTGTGTCCCTGTTCAGTTGTCTCCCTTATGGGAGACTGTGCCCTTATGTGTCAGTGTGCCTCTGGGGGACATGTCCTCCCTGTGCACGTGTGTGATCGTCTTGTACTAGGTGTTAACTATCCCTGAACTGGGACTGGGTCCTTGTGTGGCTGTGACCTTGTGGACAGTTGTTCTGTGTGTGTTCTCCTTGTGGTGACTGTCTTCATCCTATGTGTGTGGTGATGTGAAGTTGCTTAGGACTCCCAGGGGACTGTTTCCAGCATGTGGTCCTCATGTGAGCCTGTGTGCACAGGTGTGAGGGAGCTATCAGCTCTGTCCTTCTGTGTTCTCCATGTCCATGACCTCATCCTGTCTCTGTCTCTCATCCTGGCTTCTAACAACCTTTTCACAGCTGATTCCTTTGGAGCATTTGTCACCGCGTCAAGGCCAAGAACCCCATCCTCCCCCTTCCGCTTGATTTAATTTCTGAAATGGACAGCACATCAGTTGGGGCACCCACAGGGCGGGAGGAAAGCTGTCCAGAGACAAAGGATTAAATCATTGCCATCTCTGGAGCTGTTTCGTGACTGTGTATATTGCTGTTGTTGTGTTGTTGTAGCATTTGTGACAGAGTGTGTCTTATGTGATTGTCATGTCACGTTGCTCCCTCTGTCTCCGCATTGTGGCCTGTAGTTGTCTTCTGTCATTGCGTTGTCATGTTGTCCTTCCTGCTCTGCCCTCACATTGTTGGTTTGTCGTTGTTGTTGTGTTGTGTTTCTGTTTGCTTGGTGAGGCAGACAGGGTGACTAGGGAGCGTTAGCCCATTTGTTGTGTTGTTGGGTGGCTGTTTCCTCATCTTGTGGCTGTACCTGCCCCAGAGTATAAAGAACCACATCGTGTCCAAGTAAGTTCCGAGCTGCTGCTGGTCAGTGTTGACGTGTTGCCGCTGGGACTGTGGTGGCCACACCCCCTCCCCTTCGGTCAGTTTTCAGCCTCCTCCTCAGGCAGCTGGATGCAGAGTTTGTTCTAGTGGGGGGGGGGTGTTCAGAGAGGGGCTTGGCATGTTTCCTGGAAGCTCCAGGTTTTGACAGGGGAAGTTGGGGGGGTTGCTCAATGGCTAGGGCTGGTGGATTGGGGGAGCTCTATGGCTTGAGCCTTGGACACTGGGCCTCTGGTCAGGAGGAGGCCCCCATTCAGTCTCTGGTCCAGCCTCACAGCTGTGGCCTCCAAGGCCCCCAGCCACCGCCCTTCCGCCATTCATCCTTTGTTTGGCTGGTCCCAGGCCCCACAGATGAGTGGTCAAGGCTGGCTGGGATTCCTGCTTCCCTCTCCTCTGACGGGACAGGGACCGAGAGGCTCAGAGAGGGGCAAGGCAGAGGCAAGCAGCGGGGGAGAAACCTGACGCAGAGAGATCCTGGCAGAGGAAGGGTGACAGAGGTAGCAGACAGGGACAGATGTTCCAGCACAGAGAAAAGCAGTACTGGGGAGGGGGCCATGATGGAGGGAAGGGGTTGGCTAGTGACATAGGGGGATCCCTACCTCCTGCAGTCCTGGTGGTGTTAACAAGTCTAATTAAGAGGCCACTGGCCCAAGTTAATTGGCTCGTTAACAGGAATTGCCTCTGAAAATCCCCCAACTCAGCGGGGTGGCTCTCCGGAGGGGAGATGTAAGCAAGTGTTAACGAGGGATCCCGCAGCACCCCCCACCACCGCTGCCCCCCTCCCACTTCGCTCTTCCCCTCCCACCCTCATTCCACAGATCTGGCCAAGACCAGGAAAGCATCTGTCCTTCCAGGCTTGGGGGGCAGGATGAGGAATGAAGAGATTAGATTCACATCGCCCAGCTCTGCATGCCTGCCTCTCCTGCGTTGTCTGTAGATCAGTGTCTCCGATTTTCTGTGTTGTATTCACCTCCCCCACCTAGTGCTGCCTCTCGACAGGTGCTCCCTCCCACCCTTCTACTCCAGTCTCCTGGGTTCAGTCCATCACGCCTGGGTTGCGGAGGCCAGGGCTGGGGTTTGCTTTTGGCTCTGACAGGCCCCTCCTGGGGGCAGGAGAGGAATGGTCAGAGAGCTCTCTGGCCCCAGCACTCCCCCGCACCCCTCCCAACCCCAGCAGTTCCTGTCTCACAAAGTTGATAGCTGCTAGGAGTTCTCTAGGGCTCTCGCCCTGGATCTCCCTGCTGCTGCTGCCCGAGCCCTGGATGGCTGAAGTGGGCAGGTTAGGGGCAGCTTGTCAGGGGGTCCAGAGTGGGAGGGAGAGAGGCAGGACAGGAGACAAAGATGGGGACAAGAGACAGAGAAAGGAGTCCAGAAGCAGGGCCCCTCAGCTCCAGCTTGCCTGGGTAGCAGATGTCAGTGATTGGGGCTGGGTCTGTAGGTGGCGAGAGGTTAGGGTCGTGGGGGTCAAGAAAACTTTCTAAAGGACCTAGTGACTGGAGGTGAACTGGGTCTTCACCGAGATTTAACCCCTCCCAGCATTCAACACACACTTTCTCCCACACACACACACACACACACACAGAAGATCACACCCCTTCACACACAAAATACCCAGACATGCAGGTGCACGCATGCACACACACACACACACACACACACACACACACAAATTTGGAGACACTCACAACCATGGAGAAATTTTACACACTTCTCATCTCCTGACACCCACACCATCAGACACAGAGCCTCTTGGCCTAGACTTCTCATCATAGGCTCTCATCTGCTCACATTCACTTGGTGGTGCTGGGCCAGGCTGTGACCTGTGACTCTTGCCCTATGCTCTCCCTGCCCCCAACAGAAGTACCCCACGTGCAGTACGAGCGCCTAGGTTCAGATGTGACTCTGCCATGTGGGACAGCAAACTGGGATGCAGCAGTGACATGGAGGGTAAATGGGACAGACCTGGCCCCCGACCTGCTCAACGGCTCTCAGCTTGTTCTTCATGGCTTGGAACTGGGCCACAGCGGCCTCTATGCCTGCTTCCACCGTGACTCTTGGCACCTGCACCACCAGGTCCTCCTACATGTGGGCTGTAAGTGTTGCTCCCAACCCCTCATCTGACCGCCTTCCCCCCCCAGCCCCACAGTTCACTAAAGAGGATTGTCAGTGAGGCTTAGACCCTTGGCCCAAATCCAGTCCTCTTCCTTTTGGGGCCAGGGATGCTGCAGCACCTTGACCCTTGCCCTCTGATCCTTTCCTAACCTCTTCTGACCTCTGAGCCCACTGTTTCCCACAGAATCCAGACCCCCGGGCATTTTGCACGTGTATCTCTCCCCCGCCCCCCCCCCCACCCCCGGCGATCTGTGAGATCCAGAAATCCTGTTCCCTGTGACAAGATGGGCAGAGGAAGGCTAGCAGGGCCTGATCCTTCTGGGGCCTGGGAAGGAGGAATCGTAGGGTCACAGCTCCCAGCTGGAGAGACCCCACTCCGTTGTGCACTCTTATAGGGGCTAGCTATGCAGGTAGAGAAACAGGCACTCTGGGAGGCTCCAGGGAAGAAAGAACACTTCCTGGAGTGGGAGGCGCATGGAGATTGGGAGATTTGGAGGATACATCGACAAAGTCACCTCTGACAGAGACACCTCTGACAGAGACCTAAGTGCAGCTGTAGGCCTCAGAGGCTGGGAGGGTATGGAAGGGCCACTTGTGCTGGTGGTGGAAGGGAACTAAAGGAGAGGATGGGGCAAATCAGGAGCCTAGAAGCTAGAGAGTGACACGAGCAGGGTCATCATGTCCTTAAGAGATCCTTCTCATGGTGGTGAAGAGAGACAGGTTGGATGGTGGCTGTGCCAGGGCAGGAAGGAAGCTGTTGCTGGATGCAAGGGAGATGATGAGGATTGGGCACCAGGGCATGGAGTCGGGGCAGATGAGAGGGGCTGGTTGGACTGCCAGGAGTTGGTGGTGCATTGGAGGTAGAGAAGACAGGAGCGTAGAGAGCAGGGGGAATCAAGATGGCTGGTGCTACCAATCACTGCAACAGAGGCAAGGTGGAAGGGTCTGTGGAGGAAAAGATGGTGTGTTCTGGGGTCACCTGGGTGGCTCAGTCAGTTAAGCGTCTGACTTTGATTTCAGCTCAGCTCAGGTCTTGCTCTCAGGGTCCTGAGTTCAGGCCCTGTGTTGGGCTCTGCACTGGGTGTGGAGTCTACTTTAAAAAAAAAAAAAAAAGATAGTGTGTTCTGTTTGGACAGTAGTATGCAAGTCATCTTATTTCGGATTTCCCTAGAATCAGATCCTAAGATGAGAGTGTATATGCAAGTAGTTTATTTGTCAGGTGGCAGAAACACCATAAGGAAATGAGAAAGTGCTAGAAAAAGGAAGCTAAGGGGACCAATAAAGACGGAGCTGCAACTGCAGCTTTGCCCTGCAGGGACTCTGAGGGCCCAGGCAGGACATGGACCTGGGAGTTCTCCCCCCTGAGCAGTGAGGGAGATCAGAAGTTTACATACTGCTCATGTAACTCCTGCTCATCCTTGGTTGAAGGAGTCTCCCGGGGTGGGGGTGGGGATGCTTTAATTCCCCTGCACTTTTGGCTTGATGCCTCAGGAGGCAATGCAGATTTTAGTGACCAATGAAAGCTCTTAGGCACATAAATGCAGAAGAGGGTGGTAGGTATGGGCCAGGGATCTGCTAGGGCATCACTGACATTTGCTGTAGATATGTTGGGTTGGGGTCCTCGGGGGACAGTGGGAGTTGATGGCTGTAGCCAGTGGATCTGAGGGTCTGGGGCCTGGGCTGAGGATGAGATGAGAAAGGACACAGAGCGGGTAAGATGGCCAAGAGTAAGAATTCTGGGATGAGAAGAAAAGAGGACCCAGAACTGGGCCCTGAATATCATCACTTTATAAAGGGTTGATGGAGAGAGATGAGCCACAAAAAGAAATAAGGAGCCAACAGGAAGATAGAGGGAAAAGTGAGTGAATGTGATTTAGAAGAAAGGTTTGGAGAAGTTGGAATGAGGAACTTCTCAGTGTTGCTGAGGGTCAGCTGGACAGGCACCCACCAACAGAATATTCTGAAAAAAGTTCCATTCCTTTTTTCCTTGAGCCAAAGATTCACATTTCTCTGGCCTCACCCCATATGGGGGATGCACCCCACTTTCTGAGGGTGGTTTCTTTATTCCCTGGGAGCTGCTGAGGGAAGGAGATACATGAGCAACCTGGGAGCAGGCCCTTTCCCTGTTGTTAGGAGACTGGCATGGACAGCATGGGAAATGTTAGACTGAAGGACTGCTCATTGTCATCCCCAAAACACTTACCCACTGGTGGGGTTAGAGGAGGTGTGAAAATACGTTTTGGTGGGGATATTCCTTTTCACACAGAAGAGCCTTCCTGTGTTTAAACTAGAAAGATAGCAATCATAGCCAAGTGTCTTAGTTGCAAGCCAGGGGTGGAATGACCCCTGTCGGCCAGCTTGAGAAATACGGGACCAACCTACCTGAGTTCTCCCGGGCCCACCATGACTAAGTGGAACACTCAGCCTAGCCCCATGTCCTTACACACAGAAAAGTGCCATGGAAAAAGGATGAGACCAATTTGACACCCCTCTTTTCTCGATTTGAGTCCTAGAAGTCCTTAGGTTGGACAAGACTGGCCATGATGGCTAGACCTTGGTGACCCTAGGCCATATTCCTGATGACTTGATTTTTGAAAGGTCGTTGGAGGGAAATTGGGTCTAGAAGTGATGTCTGTGGTCTGTACCCACAGGACATGCCCACAGCTGCCCTGTTGTGACCAGAGCCCAGACCTTTTACAGTGCTGACCACTCCCAGGGCTCTGCCTGTCAGAGGAGAACTGGCCATGAATTGGTTGTAGCATTAGTAACAGGTACTTATCTCTCATTACCTTATTTCCTTCTAAAGAGCTGGTCAGAGGAACAAGGGACGTTAATCATGATTGTCTCAGTCACTTTATATTACTAACAAAAGACTGGGTTTGGCAACACTCAATATCAAATTATTCTTCTAGCCAGCACTCAGAGAATAGGACAGAGTTACCCCTGATTTGTGAGTCATTGAAGCCAAATTATTTAATATTTATCTGAAACATATAAGATTTTCATGTTTCTATTTCCAGGGGAAACTGATCATAAAAATATCCCATTGAAAGTCCCCTTAACCAGACTGATCCCTGAACTGCTTTCCCCCAGTCCACCTTCCCACCCCCTGGCGGCTGCTCAGACAGGATGGTGAGAGGAGTGCCCACATCAGGAAACAGGATCACCTGCTTTCCTTTAGTACCATCCTTTGGTTTACTAGACACTGCTGATTCAGTGTCTTTCTGGTTTTAAGCTAAAACAAATCAGAGTGATTTACTGATTTGACATGGACAGTTCCTTGTCCAGTTTTTACATATTTGCATTTGACTGGTCAGGACAGGAACTTCAGAATCCCTGGTGCAGCGCTGCTTCCCCCTCAGCCCTGTTTGCTGAGAAGGAAAGAGCAGCTTGTGGATGAAGATGTCTGGGGGGGGAAAAAGACAGGTGGGAGGCAGGAGAGGGGCATCTAGGAAGCCAGGAGTTGGGGTGCCTTAAGAGATGTCATGAGATAAGGCTTTGATGCCAGACAGGAGGAGTGTGGGTGGGGCCCAGGCAGGGCTGGAGCTGGAAGGGTCACCCTGCCCCACCCAGCCTGAGCTGGCCTGGCCAGGGGTGTGGGCAGCCTGCCCCTCCTTCTCTCAGGGCCGCTGGGCAGGCCTCGTGCGTGCTGGGGGCTCCAGCCCAGGCGGGCTGGCGAGATGAGAGGAAAAACATGCGGTTTGGTGGGCTGGACATGGAAAAACAAGCCAATTAGGAGGAAAACAAACAAACCCTGGGCCAGCGGGGGCACACGCACACACGCACACATGGCCCCGTGTGGGACCCAAGGATGTCCTGCCACAGGCTGCCACAGTCACTTGGGCATTTCAGGAGCCCCCAGAAGGGGCAGCTTGGGATGCCTGGGCATCCAGGAATATGTCTGTATGCCCAGAGAATGACCTGACACGCGTATGAGATTTTGCTCACACACAGCCTCTAACATGTTCTCATGTGGTGGTCAGTTCATATGTGTGGACACACTTGGAATTCCGGGCACTTTCTCACACCCACAGTTTGAAAAATATGTTCAGGCTTCAGCTTCATCTCACATACAGTGTTTCAGGTATGGAGTTGTGCTGTCCCCGTGTTCCAGACACGATGGCGTACTTACACGTATTCTCAGAGTGCCTCAGCCCCTAGGCCAGACCCATCCAGGCGGGCCTGAGATCAAACAGCCCGCCCAGAGTCCCACACAAATGCAGTCTGCAGTCATACACAGCCAGTCGCATGGTTACATGCTTGCCCAGGATTTTAGTCACATGCATGAAGCCTCTCAGAGTTACCAGACAGCCTCACAATTGCCATGTCTTAAAAACAGCTTCTTCCCCATCTTGCAGCCCACTCATAACAGGCCTGATCGCACACTGTCCCACAACCTCACACTTGGTCTCTCACAGCACCCCTACCTCCGCCCACCCGGCCCCTCAGCTGGGCTCCAGCTGCAGCAAGTCACTCCTTTTCTTCCTTTCTTTGTTTTTCTTTCCTCCTTTTCCCTCTGAGAAACCTGGTCCCTGTCAGGAAACCCAAGCCCTTCCCTACTCAGGGCCCAAGGCCAGGCAGGAGTAGCCAGATGACAGACAGAGCCCTGCCTGGCCCCCTGGTCCCCCGTGACCTGCCCAGTCAGAGAAAGGAACTGGTTTGAGGGGGAAGCTGGTCTCACGGGAGAGGATGGTCATGGGGGAGTGGAGGGGACTGGTCAGGGGGGAGGCTGGCTGGTGGAGGGGGCGGGCCTGTGAGTCCAGTGCCTTGGCCGGCTCTGCCCTCCAGAGAGTCCCAGGCAGCAAGGAGCTGACTCTGCAGCCTTTAGTACCCACCCCACCCCCAGCACCCTTCTCCTTTGAAGCTGGGGGTAAGGGGGGGTGGTGGCAGGAGGCGGAGTGGAGGCTTCTCAGCCGACCTCAGAATGTCCTTTTCTCCTGGGGTGGCTGCCAACTCTGGCCTGGCCTGCAGGCCCCCACAAGGCACTTCCTGTGTCCTTGACCATCCCCCACCCCACCCTCATGCCTCTGTGTCCCTGGGCAGTTAGGGAAGGGATATGAGAGGCACACAGGATGAACATGGAACAGACACAAGATGGACACAGGGCCAGGAAGGCTCCCCAGGGGAGGCAGACAGCAGTGGATAGAATGCAGGTTGCCCCTTGTGGGGGTCTTAGCTGGGCTCTAGCAATCCCTGCAGGCCTGGGGCATAGAGCCACACCTTTGCCCACAGCGTAGCCCACTCTAGCTGCTACATACACCTAAGCTTCCCAGATGCCTCTCTGACCCTCTCATCTCTCCTGCTGCAAAGCCAGATTGGGCCCTGGGGGTTCAGCCCCGATACACATACACTTCCCACACACTGGACATGTACGTGCAATCAGAGTCACAGTCACGTGTACATTGTGGACGAAAGCCCACAGTTCCCCATGTGTCACCATGGCCACTCGACAAGCATAGACATGTACTCCCCCTTTCGCAGTCCCTGGCTTATTGAACTGCCCCCCTCCCATTTCCTGTCCACCTGTCAGGCAGAGGGTGGGGCGGCGGGGGAGGGGGACATAGGAGGGAGGTGTCAGTGTCCCTGGAGCCACTGACGGACATTCCTTGCCTGGGTCAGATCACAGAAGCTGCCTCCTTCCAGGAACCTGAGCCGCCTGTCCTCACGCCTTATCCAATGCCTGAGTGTGGGACAGCTGGGCTGAGGGCTCACAGCAGCAAGAAGTGTGGCTGGATAGCAGAAAGGACTTCCCAAGTGTGTATACATGTGGTCATGTAGGTGGGTAGCCCCATCCTGGGATTGAGTCCCAGCCCTGGCTTGCTGTGTGACTCCAGGTGGGTCTCCATCTCTCTCTGGGACTCCGCATTCTAGATTGCAGGCTGCTGCTACCCTTGCTAACCAAGTAAGGGGCTTCTTAAGGGGTCTGTGATGGCAGAGCTGGGAGCTAGGGCTTGGGTGAGGTATGCAACAAGGGAACAATAGCTTCCTCTCAATACGCATGTGCACACACATGCAGTCAGTCATACATGGACACACAGTCTGAGCCATGCCCTAGATACTCCTGTGTATGTACCTACATTCCGTTATGGATCATTGATGTCACGGAGACATGTGTAACACGTGCACCCACGCATGTAGACACCTAGCTGCCCAGTGTGGCTGTTCCTGGGGAACCACCGGGCTTGGCCTCATGTTTCTTAATCTCTACTGGGGGAAGCCTGGGATGACTCTTCTCCAGGGAGTGCACTCTGATTATTCTAGCAACCAGAGGACCCAGTCAGGACACCCCCTCCCCCCACCCTGCAGCCTCCGTTGCAAAGTTTTTCTCTGTGAATGGACACAACGTGTCAAGAGATGTGGGGCTGGGGCCGATTCCCCCAGACATCACCTCCGTCCTGTGATTGATGAGCTGAGGCCCGCAGCCCCTGTTCCCCGCAGTTCCCGCCTCCATTGAGCAGGTGGGGGGGGCTCCCTCTTCATATAACCCTTGTTTTTCTTTAATTAAACATCTGGCTCTCTGTGGCCTGGGAAGCCTCAGACCCTCGCTGACAGCCACCCCTCCCCAACCTCTGGCATTGCTGATGGGTTGAAGGGGGAGAGCTGGGGTTCTGGGGCCCACCTGTCCCCACACTAGTGCAGGGGACTAGGGGCTCCTGACCATGCTGTGCTCACCCCTCAGTGCCGCCGCGGGAGCCCGTGCTCAGTTGCCGTTCCAACACTTACCCCAAGGGCTTCTACTGCAGCTGGCATCTGCCCACCCCTACCTACATCCCCAACACCTTCAATGTGACTGTGCTGTGAGTAGACTTGCCTGTGACCCCGTTCCACCCCGACCTCTCACCTCTCCTCCAGCCACCCACCGTGCCCTCAGTCCAGACCCTAGCCCAGCCTTGGGCTTGACCTTCCCCCAACCTCTGCCGCACCTGACCCCTGATGTTGGTAACAGTGTCTGGGCCTCACCCTTCCCCAGGCACGGCTCCAAAATCATGGTCTGTGAGAAGGACCCAGCCCTCAAGAACCGCTGCCACATCCGCTACATGCACCTGTTCTCCACCATCAAGTACAAGGTCTCGATAAGTGTCAGCAATGCCCTGGGCCACAATGCTACAGCTATCACCTTCGACGAGTTCACCATTGGTGCGTGGGGTGGGGTTGGTCCCTGCAGCACACTCCGGTGGGAGTGTGTAAGTGGATGTGTGCCAGAGGTGTGTGTGAGCACTGGGAGGGAAGTTCACATGTGTGCATGGTATGTGTGGCCCATATAGACATGTGTTCATGACATGTATAGACCTGTGAACATTGGCGTGAACGTCCTTTACCTGCATGGGCCAAGAGACCTTTCCAGCAGCTCTTCCCATCATCTCTCTGGCTCCCAGAGTATATAGGAGGGGGAGGGGGGCAGGCTGGGCCAGACCCTTGTGCAGCTGCAGCCTCCCCCCCACCCCACGCTAATGGCTTCCTTACGGCATGTGATGAATGAGGTGTCAGAACAGGAGACAGGACTGGGACAGATACCGCCCTCACCCCACCCCCATCCCCACCAGACCCCTTGCCTGCTCTTCCCCCATCCCAGCCAGACCTCTTGCCTTCCCCTACCCGATCCCCACCAGACCCCTTGCCTCCTCTTCCCCCACCCCAGCCAGACCCCTTCCCCTACCCCATCTCAGCCAGACCCCTTGCCTGCTGCTGCCCCATCCCAGCCAGACCCTCATGGCTGGGGTCCCCCAGACTGTTTCTACATGAGCTGGGCCCTTAGACTCCCATCATGTTCTCAGCCCAGATCTGCCACAACTGTGGACTGTCTCTTAACCTTGACCAGCTTCAAGAGCAGTTTCAAGCCCAGGCTCTTCCAGGGAAGAGTGTATCTCAGTTTGGAACTGGAAGAGTTGAGGTGAAAAGCCAAGCTTGAGGGGAGTGTATGATGCTGGTGCAGGAGGGGGTGACCCAGGGGACAATGGAGGTAATGTTGGTAATGGTGGAGCCATCCTATAGACCCAGTAATTGGGATGCTAGTCATTATTAGCATGGGGTTGGGATGATGGGATGAAATTTGGGATATCACTATCATGAGCTGGTGACAGTGACCGTAGTGACAGTCCTTGGTGGTGACAGGCATGTGAGAGGTGGAAATAATGAGACGGTTGTTAATGGTAGTTGCCAGCACTGACAGCAGAGAAGAGAGGTGGCCACTGTGACAACTAGGACAGTGGTTGGCAATGTAAGATGGTGGACATAGCGACTGGAGTTGACAAAGTGGGGTCATTCCCAGCAATTAGTGAGATAATGAAGCTGTGTCTCCTTAACAGTGAAGCCTGACCCTCCAGAAAATGTGGTAGCCCGACCAGTACCCAGCAACCCTCGCCGGCTGGAGGTGACTTGGCAGACTCCTTCGACCTGGCCTGACCCTGAGTCCTTTCCTCTCAAGTTCTTTCTGCGCTACCGACCCCTCATCCTGGACCAGTGGCAACATGTGAGTGTGTGCCCTGCCCACATCCCAAGCACCTGAGTCAGAGCTGCATGGCACGGGAGGGGGTCCATACACCAGTATCAGCAGGCCGCTGTTCCAGTGTGAAGACTGGGCGCAGCCAGAGAGACTTTCTTTCCTCGGGGAGAAGGGATCAGATGGGCCTGGAAGGATGGATGGGACTCAGGAAGGTATCCTGATCTGAAGCCTTGAAGGGTTCCCTGTGATGTCCATGAGTGTGATGGGAACACATCTATTTTGTGGCTCCCAGGGTAATGGGGAGAAATCCCAGAAGGGAGATGGCAGACAGGACAGGTAGGATTTCCCTTTCCTTAATTCTGGCTCTCAGCCCTGATCAGGCATCTCCCTCTTAGACTCTGGCCCAGGCAGTGGGCCTGTACTGGACACAAGGGGCAGTACATCTCTGTCCTCAAGGATTCACGGGCTCAAGGGCTCAAGGGGTCAAAATCAGGCAGTGGCGTCAAACTTGTTCCATGGTATGGGTTCAGGCCATGACTAGTGTCACGGTCCAAAGTCAGATGTAACTGAGGGGTCCACTCAAGTTTACAGGTCGGGAGGTATCCCAGGCCAGGATTGGAGCAGTGGTTGAGGGCCGGTCTGGGGTCAGCCTGTGGTCTGGGATGTTAATCAAGCTATAGTCGTTCTGAGGAGCAGCCAGGCGTTTGGGGCCGACTTAGGGTTCCCTCTCCTTGGCAGCCCTGGGCCCATAGTGCTGCAGGCACTCTTTCTGGCCCATGAGGTCTGTTGGCTAGGAATGGGGCTGTGAGGGTGCTCTGCAGGCTAACCCGGGCTGGTACCCAGGGATCAACCCACCCACTGGGCTCCAGTCCCATCTCCTCACTCCCCACTTCCAGCTACCCTTTAAAGTACGTAATTTGATTCCAGGGTGCCTGTCCGGGTTGTAGGCCTGGCCCCCACAAAGGCTGCTCACATGTTCTCTGACGGAGTCCGGAGTCCCTCCCGCCTGGCCAGCTGCCCGCGCCTAATGCATTGCTAATAACCAGGGTCTAGTTTCACAAGCCCCCCTCCCCTGCTAACGAGCTACAGGCAGCAGCCCCGCGCATCGCGGCGCACACGCCTCGCGGTGGACCTGGCGTGCCGCCCACCACACACACGGGAACATGCACACGTACACGTGGTCCCCAGCAGCAACCATGCTCCATACATGTGTGTGACTAACATGCCAAGAGCACACACTGAAGGACTTACCCCCACACCGATGTGAGCTGCACAGAGTATGAGGACTCTGTGGTAAGAGCATGTATGGCCGCTGGCGTGCTTGCCCTGTTCCATAGCTTGTTGGCGTTACAGTTGGCTTGATTTATGGCTCTTTTGAACTTGACTTTCACTCTGAATAGAATCTACTCTGCCTGATCCTTTATGTTAGAGAGAAGCAGGTGAATGATCGGAAGGGGGTACAGAGGGGAGAGCAGAGAAAAACATCACTGGGATTTTCAGAGGGAAGTGAGAGCTGTAGGCCAGGATGAACAGGAATGGGTACCATGAGGTCTGGCAGGGGCTTTCTCAGCATGGACAAGGCGGGGCAAGTACTGGGACCCAGCATGGGTTCCCTGTATCTTCTGCTCTGGCCTGACTCAGCAGGGAGGCTGGAGGGCGAGTGTGACATGTGCCACGGCAGACTGAAGGGAGGACTCTGAGGCAGATGCCAGCTACTAGAGAATTCCTGCCAAGTGAGGAGCCATTCTCTTAAGGGTGTGGATTAAGGGATCAGTGACAACCTAGCAAGAAGGGCTGGAGGCTAGGGGATATGGCTGCCAGGAAAGCACTGGACTCCTGGGCCACGTTTCTAGCAGTGTATGGTGCCCACCAATGAGGTGCTAATTTGATCTGTTCTCTATAGCTCTCTCTGTGTCTACTCAGCCAGAGGTGATCTTTGGAGGGCTAAAGGGTATACGGGACCAGAGGAGGAACTGGGACCCAACTCCAGGGTGGGGAGAGTCTGTGGGGTCCCTCGATCTTCCAGAGCTGGGAGTAGGACTGACTGAGCCCAGCTCTGGGCCCTAAATGACTTTCACCCTGACCCTGACCTTTACCAGTGTCTCCTCCTCTAGGCCACAGATGGGAGCGGGGAGGGGTCAGGTTATTGGAGGGGCTTCCTTAGACCCATCTTCACACACGTGAATACACACACACATGCATGCTTGTACTCCCGGCCTGTCAGGTGGGTAGCCTAGACCCCAGTGTTCCGGGAAGGGAGATTGGAACAGGGACCAAGAAAGCCCTGAAGCCAGACGTGGCCCAGAGCAGCCCCCTCCTCCGCCCCTGCCGGCTGCCCCTGTTTACGAGGAGGCTTAATGAGGCAGCGGGTGCCGCTGAGATGAACCAGAGCCCAGCCTGGGACTGGGAGGGGCGCCGGACAGGCAGGCCAGCAAGAAGGGTGGGGGAGACCAGCAGAACAGGGCTGGCCCAGGCGGGGGTGGGGTGGTGATGCTTCTAGGAGGAAATGGAGCAGCTGTCCTGCTGTCCCGCAGCTTGGGAGCTGCCCCCCCACCCTTCTGCCTCAGGCAGGGTGATTACCTTACTGTGGCCTTCCCGAGGGAGAGGCCTAGCTGGGGCCAGGCTGGTGGGCGCATGGGGCATTTGTGAAGCCAGGCTCTGAGCTAGAACCCATGATGACGACAGAGCTGGCTGAAGTGTGTTAGGTGCTTCCCATGCGCCTGAGTCCTCACCCTAGTCCTGTGAGGTAGGTCAGGAATGCCATTTTATAGATCAGGCCAACAAGGCATGGGGAGGTTAAGTCACTTGGTCACCTGGCTGAGAGGGGACGGAGCTATAACCTGGACTCAGGCAGCCTAGCTCCACATCTGTATTTACATCCTTTCTTCTAAGCACATTACCAGCTCTTCTCTTACCCTGTTACTCTTGTCACCTCCAGGCAGAGACTGAGATCAGGGCTCAGGCTGGGCGCTGGGAGGGAGCTGGGATGACAGCAGGGTTGAGCAGGGTTGAGACATTGAGCAAAGTCCTCCTTCTGTTCTCCCGGGGGTGCTCCTGGTCTCCTGAAAGATTTTCTTACTTTCCTTCAGGATCCTCTTCCTTCCCTTGGGGTCTCTTCCCCAAGATTTCTTTACCCGCCTTCGGGAATATTCTCGATATCCTCTTTCTCCCTCCGGGGCAGCTCTCTTTTCCTCCAGCAGGGGGATTTTCACTCTTTTCTCCCCAGAAGTGTTCTCAGTTCCTCTGGGGGTACCTCACTCTCCTGACCCCCAGGGCTCCCCACCCCCATCCTGTGGTCTGGCTGCAGGTAGAGCTGTCAGATGGCACAACGCACACCATCACAGATGCCTATGCTGGGAAGGAGTACATCATCCAGGTGGCGGCCAAGGACAATGAGATTGGGACATGGAGTGACTGGAGCGTGGCTGCTCATGCCACACCCTGGACTGAGGAGCCACGACACCTCACCACTGAGGCCCAGGCTCCGGGTAAGCCCCCCCTCGCCCCGATTCCCCCAGGGGGCCTGTGCTGTTACCTGGCTTTATCTCCCACCTTCCAAATCCTCCCAGGACTTAGAGCCTGAGAGCCTCCGCCCCAGGCACTCTGCGGGCTGCCACACTCCTGTCTGTCTGTCTGTCCTACCGAAGCTGGTCCTGGTCCCGGTCCTTGCTGTCTGGACATTCTTGGTAGGGGCCATCGGGTGGAAGGGTCATCTGAGAGCCATGGGGAAGCAAGATCTGCCTGGTGGGTGAGGCAGGACACGTCTGAGAGAGGAAGCAGGGGCTGTCTGACGGGGGAGGCAGTACTTGCCTAACACAGGGAGCAGGAACAGTGTGCTTCATGAAGCCCCCAGACCTGGGTTGAACTGCAGCCCCGGCCCAGCCCTGAGTTCCCTCCATGTTCCCCAGAGACCACGACCAGCACCACCAGCTCACTGGCACCCCCACCCACCACGAAGATTTGTGACCCTGGGGAGCTGGGCAGCGGCGGAGGACCCTCAGCACCCTTCTTGATCAGTGTCCCTGTAACTCTGGCCCTGGCTGCCGCTGCCGCCACTGCCAACAGTCTTCTGATCTGGTAAGACAGGTGAGGCTGGGTGGTAGAGGGGAGCCTGAGGGGACCCCCTGCATCCCACCCTCATCCCTCACAGCCCCCTGCCCTGTCTCCCCAGAGCCCGGCATCCCGTGAGGACATGCCAGCGCACCTGCAGAGGAGCAGGAGGCCGGAGCTGAGCCCGCAGACTCCAGTTTCTATTTTGCACACGGGCAGGAGGACCTTCTGCATTCTCTTCAAACATAATTTGTAGAGACCCCGGCAGGCCTGGGCCTGCCACCCCCTAGCCCTGCCACACCACGTTGGCCCTCCTTGGTCCCTCAGGGGAGGAGGACCCCGCAGCTAACCCACCCACCAAAGACCCCCCACCCCCACCCTGGCCCCTCGGGCTGGACCCTCCAATGCCAGCGACTCCCAGGAGCCCTTGGGGGGGTCTGAGGGGAACCCCTCACATCCATAATTTCTCTTCCTGCCCTAGCCTCCTGTCTGTCCCAGGGTCTCTGTTGCCACCATCAGATTATAAGCTCCTGATGCTGGGGGGGCCCAGCCATCCCCCTCCCCCCAGCACCCACACTTTTCACTCCCCCACCTGTGCCCATTTTGTATGACCCTCCCCTTTCCCTGCTCCGCCCCCCCCCTGCCCCGCAGTATTTAATGCCCTGTCAGTCCCTTCTAGTCTGACTCAATGGTAACTTGCTGTATTTGAATTTTTTATAGATGTATATACAGGGGTGGGAGGGTGGGGGGTTCTCATTAAATGTCACCATTTCATGAGTCCTTGAACCAGACCCATTTGGGGAGGGTATCCTTCTTCCAAGGATCCCTCTTAAGGCCTGGAGGAGGGAAGAAATTCTGCTTAGAGACAACTCTTTCCACAGAGATGGGGAGAGGCAGTATTGCTCTCAGACAGGTGTGTCTGGGGGTGGGGGCTTTCTGCTGCTTTGGAGGATAAGGTTTCCTGGAGGCCAGGGGCAGAGTTGTGGGGGATGAGGGGTCCCAGTGAGGCAGGTCCCACGTGGGGATGTCCAGTCAGTCCTGGAGGCTGCTGAATCCTGACAGGGAAAGGCCCGTCAATGGTCATCTCCAGAGCTGGCCTCCAAGAAAGCCTCGGCTTTACCCATGGGGGCCAAGATACAAGAAGGTGAGAAGGCTGGACTTCATCCTTGGGGTACGGGGGGTGGCCATCCCTGTTACGCAGTTCAGACATGTCAGGGGTTCTAGGAGGTCAGGCCTGGGGCTCAGCTATGCTATGAGGCTCGGGGTGCAGGGTATACTGGTCCTGGGCGGGGCGGGAGGCTGCCTGAAGAAGGCCACTTGGAATGCAACTAGGGACTGGACCTGTGCTGCAGGACTGGAAATGTGGGATACAAGATTGACCCCAGGGTTAGATTACAGTTGAGACTCCGGGTGAGCAGGAGAGGAATAGGCTTTGGTTTTCCAGGGTGCCCAGTCTGTGGTCTAGTTCTATACCCTCCCCACACCCTTCCAGTGCTTAAAATGGGATTCCAAAGCCCCTTCGGTTTCTCCTCAGAGGAGAGGCCTGTGGCTCTGTGCCAGCTCCCTTCTGCCCCTGCTCAGGTCCAGCCCCTTGTAGAAGCCGCTGCAGCTTCTACCATGGTGGGGGGCCACTGCAGCTCCTTAGCTGTGGATGCCTCTGGCTGGGGCCATGTTGGCAGGTACCTCTGGCCTGGGGGTGGGAGCAAAGGGTTAGACCAGAGCCCCAACCTGGGGAGCCAGGTTCGGCCTTGCTCTGGGTGTCTGGGACGAGAGAGATGAAGCAGAGGCATGAATACACTGACATGGGTGCACAGCCCCCACAGCAGGTGCTAAGTGCCACACCTGCAGTAAGCCACTCATCCCATGATCATGCACGCGTGCGCGCACACACACACACAGACACACACATACCCCAAGTCAAACCCTTTACTTCAGACCAGGGTCAGAAAATGGACTTTGCTTGCTGGTGTCTCAGGCCTGCATGGGATCATGCTCCCAGGAGGAGGGATCCGTGTTGCCTCACACACTGATGAGTTACCCCTGGATAGGGCTTGGAGCTGGGGAAGGGGCTTAGAGTGAGGGTAGCTGGCTCTCTTCCAGGCCAGACACTACAGGAGGAGATGGTGTGTTCCAGGTGGGAGATCTCGTGGAAAACAAAGGCCTGATGTCAGGATAGAGGGGCCTTTGGCTTTTCAGGCTGAGTAGCCTCAGCTGTGGGAATACATGACTCCTCATTACAGGAAGAGGCTCCCAGGATGGACATAGTGAGAAGTGGCTGAGGACCCACCCCTGAACCCTGCATCCCTAATTTGCCTGTTTATCTGGTTTCTGGGAGATGTAGCTTGAGCCTGAACCTGTATTCCAGGTTCCAGGGAGCAGGGGCCACCAACTCTTGTGAAAGACATTGTATTCCTGGGGTGGGTCTGAGCCTCCCCCTTCCCTGTCCTCGTGGTAGTGTGGCTAAAGTTCAGAGGTCTCCGGCTTGTGCTGCCTTCCTGCCTTGAGTGCCTTGGTCAGCCCTGACCCACCCACCGCCCACCCAGGGCTTGGGCATCAGCAATCTGGCCTCTATTAGCAACATGGGAAAGCAATTATGTAGGGTCTGGGGAGGGGAAAGAAGGGAGGGGGACTGCTCGTGCCTGAGAGGCCAACAGAGAGGACTGAGGTATCTCCCTGCCCCCAACCACAAGAGAGAGGCCCAGCCCTGTTCAAAGTGCCAAGGTGGTTGGAGGGTCAGTGTCGTTGCCTCTGACAGGCCTGGGCCTGGAGGTGGTTGTTCATTTTTGAGAGTCTTAGCCCTCAACCTCACAGAGGCTGCTCGCTTTGAGGGCTGGTCTTAGAGTGCTGTCTGCTGCTGCCTCCAAGTATTGTCTCTCCATGTCATTATTTCCCATGGTGGTTCTGGGGAGCTGGGGTAAGTATAGACATCAATTCTTAAAGCTAAATCAGATCTCACAAAACTGCCGAGGGGGGCTGCCGGCGTGGCTTGGATCCCAGGCCCAATGTGTATGTTGGCTCAGCTTTTCAGCTCACTAGTTCTCTTTGCTCCCCCAAGGGGCACTGGAGATGGGGACCTTCCTCTATGCCCCATTCTTAGAAGGCTAACTTGTTGCTGCCCCCATCCTCTTACTGCGTATTTCCAGCAGGCTCTGTCCCATTCCTATCTCTGAACATGTCTTTGTCCTGGTTCCTATCCTGTATTTCTCTCTATATCTCTATCCTGTCTCCTTCTCTGTGTATGTCTCTAACTCCTGTATCTGTATCCAACCCTGTCTGTCTCTCTGTGTCTCCTCCCTGTCTCTTACTCTTGCCTTTTCTGTCTTCCTCTGTCTCTGTGTGTCTTTCCCCAACTCAGTCTCTTTGTGTCTCTCTGGCTTTGCATGGATCTCCACCCCATTTCTGTGTCTCTGTTCCTCTTCCCTGACTCTGTCAGCCCCTTCTCTCTCTTTGCCTCCCTCTTTGTGTTCCTGCCCTGGTCCAGACCCCAGCCTGTGGCCACTGTGCCTCTTTGGCCTGAGCTAGGACTGTCCTGGCTTCTGCTGCCCCCTCTCGGCCACCTGCCTGCCCTTCATTCCTGCTCCAGGTCAGGCGGCTAATCTGATCGTTGACACACCCCACCTCTGCCTTCCAGCAGCCAGCCAGGAGAGAGGAGGGTTGTTGGGAGGCAGTAGGTAGGAATCCCTCTGGGGCAGCCTCTAGGCCTGGAACTCCCCAAAGCCAGTGGGTGAGCTCATTAACTCCCTAGACTGGGACTCCAGGGAAGTTCATCCTACATGGAAAGGATGGAGAAAAGATTTGGGTGTAATCCTCACACCCTTCCCTTCTCAGAGGAGGGCAGAGAGGAAGGAGATCTGAGGAGGCAAGTCTGATGGAGCCAGCATGGGGAGAGGCTGGAGGAGAACTTTTCTGACAGGGGTACTCCAATGGGGAAGGGCTAACCTGAAGGTAAGTGGGCCAGTGTGAAAGGATTAGTCTGAGGGGAGGCTGGTCTGGGACATGCTGCTGTAGAGATCTCTGTTGGAAGGGCAAATCTGAGGGGGTAGATTAATCAAGAGAGCTTCTGAAGAGTCCTGTCTGAGGAGAGACCACTCTGAAGGCACACAGGTCTGAGAACAGGACCACCAACTAGTCTTAGTTTGCCTAGGACTCTCTCAGTTCTAGCACTGAATATATCAAGTCTCGGGAAATCCCTGGGTCCCAGGCAAACTGAGACTGTTGGTCACCTATTTGAGAAGGCCTTGCCAACAGTTTTGGTCTGATGGGAAAGTCGATCTGAGGGCGCGTGGACCTGAGGGGGCCTGGTTTGACAGTGCCAGTCTGTGGGGAGAGGCTGTTTAAGGCTAGAAGCTTCTTTGGCCAGGAACCAGGCCTGTAAGGGAGTGGATAATTAGGGTCCTTCCAGAAGGGCAGTGGCTAGGGGAGTGGCCACCAGGGGGCAGAGCAAGCTCTCAGGAGAATCAAAGGCAAAGGCCCCAGAGAGGGGAGCCAGACAGTGCGGAGCTGAGTGCAAAGTGTACCTTCAGTATCGTGTGTCACAGGCCATCACCTGCAAGTTTGTGGTGAGGGTATACAACCACAGAGTTGTGGTTTTGTGTGATTAGGTGACCACATCTGTGGTATGTTAGCGTGTAGCCTGTGATGCAGAGGGTGTCTCATGTGGCGGTGGCTGAGGCCTTACCTGTGGCTGTAGGGAAGGGAGCAAGAGCGCCCTCAGGACACAAGGACACAAGGCAGAGACGTTTCCTCCGGAGAGGCTGAGATGAGGAGAGGCAGGAACTAGGCTTCTCTACTTGTATCTAATGTTGCTGTCTGTAATATTCCTTGAGAGTCTAAGTGCTTTGGTCACATACCGGCGCAGCCCCCAGACCAGAACGCACTCCTAGGGCCTGCCCGCCATACTCTCCTGCTTCTCTCCTGCCCCCTTTAGCTGGCATTCCTCCAGCTGGATACCACCCCTGCCCCCCCCCCCCCCCCCCATTCCCCAGTCATCTTTCCTGTCTGTCCTACTTCCATGCCTCGGTTCGTGCTGTGCACTGCCTGGATGCAGTCTTGAGAAGCACTGGAGGTCCCTCTGATGCTGCCCCCTGCTCACTCCTCTGCCATGGACTGAACACCCACTTTGTACTAGTCCACTGGCCCCCTGTCTCATTCCAGGGATCTGAAAGTACTAGGGGCTGCTAGGTTCTTGCCCAAAGGAGGGATCTGAGGGGAGATGTATGGACAAGGCAAGGGTGGGATCTCTGGGTTAGGAGGCAAAGTGAAGCCATCACATAATTACTTTACTCCATCGTACCCACCCCCCACCACTAACAAGAGGAAAAAAGCCCAAACCAAAACAAAAGTGTTGCTAGAAACTCAAGTCCAACCAAACA